CCTTACTAGTAGTAACAAGGACGCTACTAGTAGCAAAGGGCATCGCTACAAACGGAGCAAGGAGGACGCTACTAGTAGCCTTGAAGGAAAGAACGAAAGGTCTCTCGAGTCGAGAGGTCTAAACATTAGGAGACATCATATGCAAAAGGAAGAGCATTCCCAAATCTTTCCCTGCGGCCCAGGACTACACCCTGAACTAGACCTGATAGTCCCTGACGTGTCCTGCAGGGAGATGTGCTCGAATCGCCTCAGTACAAGATTAAGGAAAAGGGGCGGGCGTGGAAGCAGCTCAGTTTCTTTCAACGAAACACTCACGGTGGTTTGTTTCGACCCCAATGCTCACTGATGATAGCGAACGCTGACGTTCCGAGATCATTTTACACTCAAACCTTAACAGGCCGGCCTTTCATGCATCACGGCAACCATATAGACACCGACACTGTCAATGTAATAGGCCTCGATCATCCGGCACTTCGCCGAAGGCTGCGCTGCATGGATCGCTACTAGGAACAAGTGCATCGCTACTAGTAACAAGTGCCTTACTAGTAGTAACAAAAAAGCTAGTAGTAACAAGTGCCTTACTACTAGGAACAAGAAGCTACTAGGGGCTCCTGGCCTTACTAGTAGTAACAAGAAGCTACTAGAAACAATGGACCGGATTCTGCAGACCGTATATTCTGCTGTAAAGGTGCACCGTGAAGCTCCTGGAAGGGCATAGCTTGTACCACATTGTTGATCTCCCCACCCTCTAGATTGTGTGGCACTGTGGCCATCTAAATTGGCAATTGTGGTGAACAGCCATCCAGCAAACGATCGCTTCATGTCCAACAGTGTCCAAAAACTTCCAAGGTGGTTGAAGTGCCCAGCAAAAAGAGGAATATGGAAGAAGACAAAGAAAGCAACTCGCCCGCTCTCTCACCTTCTACATTAGATACCACTATGCATATATATATATACATAATATATATATATATCTTTATGTCTACTTTTCTTGTCTCTTCTTCACCTTACTACATGAAGCAGCAGGGAGCAGCCTAGGTTGCTTCCGAGATGCAACAATGCCTGGGCTGGGAAGCAAGTTGGATCGTTTCAAAACAAGACTTTCCCAATTGGCACTGACACCGTGCACCATAGTGTTCAAAGCGTGAAAGCTGGGTCTGCATAAGCCCCAAAGGAACAAACACCTTCGAAATAACCTGGGAGTTTGTGCAAATGGCTTCGCTTGGCAGTGTGTGCTTCGTCAGCGCATTTAGGTCCTATGCTTGGGTCATACCAACAAAGCGTGTTTGTCACTCGACCCCTAGGTGACTCTAGATGCAGGAAGAAGCGTGGGTGCAAGCATGCGCCATTCCAAGTACACCAAAACAGAATTGAACCAACAGAATTGTCCTTGTTCCAGGCCGCTTTCTTCGTGGGAAATCCTAAGATGATACTCCCACAAACTAGGAACAAGAAGCTACTAGGGCCTCCTGGCCGTACTACTAGGAGCAAGGATGCTACTAGGAACAAGTGCATCGCTACTAGTAACAAGTGCCTTACTAGTAGTAACAAAAAGCTATAGAATTTGAATCTAATTAAAATTAGTACTAATTTGTTACTGCTAGCTTCTTGTTACTAGTAGTAAGGCACAAGAAGCTACTACGTAGGAGCAAAGGGCATCGCTACGAACGGAGCGGATCGGACGCGACTCGGAGCGGCTCCAAGGAACAGAAGGTGGCTTCTCGGCAAGCAGCAATCCAATAGTCCCTGAGGCTCCCAGTAGCAGGTGCCACGCTAGTAGTAACAGGTGCCTTACTACTAGTAACAAGAAGCGAACGTAGTAACAAATTAGTACTAATTTTAATTAGATTCTGATTCTAATTAAATTCTATAGCTTTTTGCTACTACTAGTAAGGCACCTGTTACTAGTAGCGTGGCACTTGTTACTACTAGCTTCTTGTTAGTGTCTGAGTTTCTGCGGTTTCCGAACAGGTAATTTATCAGGAAGCTACTAGTAACAAGTGCCACGCTACTAGGAACAAGTGCCTTACTACTAGGAGCAAGAAGCTATAATTTAATCTCTTGAAGGTTCTCTTGCAAACGCTACCATTCAAATGGTCCAAAATGGTCCAAAGACTTCTTGCCCCAGCGGCAGCTCTTTTCCAAGACCTCGCAGTCTCCACAGCAAACCCACCACCTCAACAGTCAGGCCGGTCAGGGTGGGACACCGCTCAGGGTCACTTGGTCAGAACGGTTGGCTTGAAACCTTCCGACGGAACCCAAAACGGTCTCTCGAACATGGCCCTCCGCCTGAAGACTTTGCTGCAATGTCTGAGAGACGGGTGCTCTGTCTTTCTTTCTTTGCCGTCTCTGAGCTCTGTGTTGTTTCTTTCTTAAAACCATTCTTCCTTCCTTTCCGTCTTCCTTTCCTTAAAGGTGGGTCTTGAAAGAGATCCGCTTGGGTGCCGCCAAAGACACCAGGAAGACCCATCCTACATAGATGGACCATTCCGGTGCAGATTTGCCGGAGATCAAGCCTCTCAGATTGACGACGATGCCGCATTTGCATCGTTTTGCAAACTCACAACGACCACCAACCTTAAGCTTGACCCCACAACAAACCTGGCAAAGATCCTCAAGCACCATGAAAAATAGAAACAAACACGGCTTCTTTCAGATGTGGCCTGCAGTGAAGACCGCCAAATGCAAACACTCCAGCGCGGACGGCGCCATGGGATTTCATCACGACACCGGACACCGCAGCTATGTGTCTGGGCGATACGACATGGACGTGCGCACCACGTGTCTCGTGGGATTTCCTAGTGCTTCTCTCTATTGGCGTCTTGTCAACCATAGCAATAGAGCGATAGCAAAGCCCTTCATGGATGTCTTGTTCCGTTCTGATTCCAAGTTCGAAGTGTTGGAAGCATCTTTCAACGGCTTAATTTAGAGGAAGCAATGCCATGTTGCTTCTTCAAAAAGGTTCACCGTTGTCAGTTGGTCACCTTTCTGCTCATGAGCGGCCATGGTATGCCCTGATCACAGCTGCAAGATATTCGAGGCTTGGAACAAGACCTGATCACAATGTCTTGCTGTCGGTGCCCCCAAATATGCTCAAGACCTAAGTTGGGTCAAGCTATCTTGGAAAAGGATATTCTTTGAGGATGTTGGACAATTGGAGGCGGCTTATCAAAGGGACAAGTGAAATGGTCTTCGGTCTGGACATTCTTGATTGGAATGAGACATGACACGAATGAGCACTTGGAACAAACTTTCGTTGCCACTTCGTGTGCTGGCAGAAATCCACATCTGGCCCCGACAAGGGAACAATAAGCTACTAGGAACAAGTGCATCGCTACTAGTAACAAGTGCCTTACTAGTAGTAACAAGAAGCTATTAGGAACAAATAGCTATTAGTTAGAAACAAACAAAGGCTCCTCCTCTATGGCCTCTTCTGGCCCCACCATTGCTTCCTGCAAAAAGAGAGCACTTCTTGCGTGAACTTCTTGAAGGCTTTAGCTTGATTGGACCAAAGAGTCTACTTGAACTATACAATCTGCTTCTACTACTTGAACTTCCCCAAGCCCCCAACTGCGCTCTTTCAATGCCTATCGAAAGGGTCTTTTTGTGGACCAATCGCTCTCCGCTTTGCTTTCTTCCTTTTCGAAAGCGGCCTCTGTTTCGGTCCGTCCTTGGTGAGCTTCAAGATGTCCTGCACCTCCGTCCAACGCTCCAGGACCTGTCACACCGTCCCGGATTAGACCTCCGGAGACCACCATATATGGCCAAAAGTAGACCTGTTACTACTAGCGTGGCACTTGTTACTAATAGCTTCTTGTTACTACTAGTAAGGCACTTGTTACTAGTAGCGTGGCACTTGTTACTAGTGCCAAAAAATTCGTCGTGTCCTTTTTCTTAGAAAGCTTACTAGTAGTAACAAGTGCCACGCTAGTAGTAACAAGTGCCTTACTAGTAGTAACAAGGATGCTATTAGTAACAATGTTTGCTACTAGGACCAAGTGCATCGCTAGGCACAAAGTAGAGAGTTGAGCCAACAGAGTTGTCAGTGTATTTCTACCGGGGTAGCAGGCCTCTAACAAGCCAGTGCTGCGCGTTTCTTGAGTGAAAGCAAGAGCTTCATAACAAAAAAAAAACAACCTGCGGCATCGCGTGCCTCGCCAGCAATGGCCTTCCGCGCAGTGATGTCCAGATTCATGAAGATCTGGACACACTCAGAGACCTGCAGGTCTTTGGAGGATTTGTTGCAGGACGATCAGGACGAAGGGCCTCCAAATACTTTTGGAAATCTTTGGAATACAGTAATCCTGGAAAGCTCATCGATGACCCGGGAAGTGTGGAACTCTGCAAACTATATGAGGACCAGGATAACATCCTTACATATCCTTACATTCTTCCACTCTGTCTATGGCTGAGGATCTTTGAGATACTTCTTGTTCCATGCTCTTTTGAGCTCACCCAAGCATGTAAGTACTGGATCTTTGGCCCAGCTCGATATTTGTGCGTTTTTTTGCATCCACGCCTTGCTGGGAAAGAGCACCGAGTTCTCTTGCAACATGGGTTCCAAGAAGTTTGCTTGCCAAAAGAGCATCATGATGCTCTTCTCGAACTCCTCCAACCGGGCAGACGGCGACGGTTTAGGTGACCAACTCACAAATAGCAGTGCCAGGTTTGGCTTGCAGAATAATGGATGCTTACACAGGAAAACAGCCACCATGATGAGTCTTGGGCAAGCGCACATGGTCTTTTCACTCCATTTTGCATGAAGAACTTATCCAACAGTCCAACAATCCTTCCCTGCCAGAATGCTGCCTTTTTCGTAACCCCATAGGTGTTGGCCCTGACCAAAACCGCTCAAGACAGGTGCAAACGCCTGGAGCACTTCGCCCACTTCGTCAGAGAACTCTTGCATCCTTACAAAGGCTCCACACAGTTCGACTCCCAAAGAAAAGGACGCAACATTTCGTGAAAAACTTCCATCAAACGAGACACAGGCGAATCAGTGTTCCAAAGATTTTGCCCAAAAGACCCTTAAGTGGCCCCCAACGTGCAGGGCCTTCAGTGCGTTTGGGACTCTTTTCCGAATTCTCAGTGAACTTCTTCAGTGCGTCTGTTACTACTAGCTTCTTGTTACTACTAGTAAGGCACCTGTTACTA